AGGCAGGGAGGCAGGGAGGCAGGGAGGCAGGCAGGGAGGCAGGCAGGCAGGGAGGGAGAGAGGAAGGAAGCCATCCTCCTAGCACCTGGTCTGTGTGTACACGTGCTCCCACTCTGCTCATACCCACCAGTGTTGTGGAGCCTAGAAATCTATATCATCCTTATTCACTTTATATGATGAGCTGCACACTGAAGCAATGGGGTCCCAAGCATAGCTGGCCCCAGGTGGTCCCTCAGGTCTGCACTGGTAGCATACAGTCAACCTCACAAAATGCTGACATTGATGGGCACTGATTTTCTCCCACTATCTCTGAAAATATTTTTCATGAAGTGCCATGACAAGGTAAGTTGTTTAATCCTACCTAAAATACTCTCAGAGGAGAAAAAGTCTGGCCCAAGAAAACACATCTGTATCTAGCTGGAAGGAAGGGTGCAAAGAATCTTTCCCCTAAAAATAGGAATGGCTAGAAACACTGTTGGCTGGAAACAGGCCTAGAGCTTTCCCTTTCCCAGCCATCCACCCGGCCCTCTTGTTAATCTCCTTAACTTCTCCCTTTTCCTTTAGCCTAAATCAACTCTATTTGGGACATCTAAAGAAATAACAGCAGGGTGCCGGTGGCTCCCGCCAGTAATCCTAGCTACTCCCGAGGCTGAAATGTGGTTGGCTGAAATGTGAGGATCGAGGTTCAAAGCCAGTGCCTATCTTGGGGAACAGTCTCATCCCATTAAAAGAGAGGGCCTGTAATCCTAGCTACTCAGGAGGCTGAAATAGGAGGATTTCAGTATAAACCCAATCCGGGCAGGAAAGTCTGTGAGACTCTTATCTCCAATTACCCACCAGGAAACCGGAAGTGGCACCGTGGCTCAAGTTGTAGAGCACTTGCCTTGAGCTGAAGAGCTGAGGGACAGCACTCAGGCCCAGAGTTCAAGCCCCAGGACCAACAAACAAACAAACAAACGAAGAACAAGGCTAGGTATGGTGGCCCAGAGCAGCAACATAAAAGGCAGAGATAGGCAAATGATAGCTTCGGGCAAGCCCAGCCTTAGCTTAAAGAACTAGGTGAGCACTGGTGTCATGTAACTGTCATCCCAGTTAAGTGGGAGGGAGGTATTAGGTAGGAGGATTGCAGTCCAATGTGGACCTGGAAAAAAATTATGTTCAGGGGGGGGACCAAGATGGCGACCAGGCAGTAGGGAAACGCCACAGCTCTCTCCAACCAAAAAGAGAGTTCGAGTTCCAACGCTTAATCTCCCCAAGAGACCGACAACAACAAAAAGACGAACACTCAGAGAAAAACCAGAGGTGAGAAATAACAAAAAAAGAAAGAGAAGAAAAGAATTTCAGAACAGAGAAGAGCGAAGACCCCTCCCCCAACCTTTACTGGCCGCGCGGCAGAGCGCCAAGCCGCCGGCCGGCGGGGCGGGGGCTGCCGGAGCCCCAGAGACACAGGGGGCCGCTCGCAGATACCAGGTA